CCCCTGATGACACCCCTGGACCTGGCATTCCTTATTTCCTTATTTCCTGTCTCCTTCCATGCTCTTTACACTGAGATCATCTCATCATCTCATATTGAGAAATTTTGTCAAATGTTGTAAATCACGTTTTGCACAATTTCATGCAATATCTCAATAGTTTTGGCTCAACATGTGTTGAGAAAACCTTATCTATAAGTCCACCTTCATTTAGTGTGATAGCTGACAAATTGAATTATATCCATGTTTGTATTTTCCAGGGTCAGTTGACTGTGACGGCCATCAATGTTGACTCCTAAATTTAAAAGTTTCACTGAATTCTGTTCAGTGGTTCATGATTTGCTAACAGATAGACAGACCTTCTGCAACCTGTTAGTGCTCAGAATATGTGTTGAGGATTAGCCTCTGCTACTATCACACCAAATTTGAGTTTGAKATCTGCAAAATTATCAGAATTATAACCATTTTTGTGTTTGCAAAGGTCAGCTGGCTGTGCCATCTTGAGTCGGGTTGACTCTAAAAGTTAACCGGTTATTYGTAAAGCCAATGAATTCTTTCTGCAAATGTCATTCTAAATGTGATTAGCGTTTCATGAGATGTTTTGGTGACACAAAATCACATACACACACATTATGCACACACACACACAGACACAGGCAAAAAAAAAAATATTGCTCTTTGACGGCAGGTAGTAAAAATAAAGTTCCCAATTTACACACTACAGACCCAAACTTCATAATATTTTACTTTTTTGGGGGAGCAGGGCAGGAGAACATTAGGTATTCAAAAATATGACAAAATACATGTTGTTTTACCCAAAACGATGATGTTTAAGAAAAGGAAATGAATGAATCTTTTAACATCACTGGTAAAAGGAGAAACATAAAATAAACATTGAATATTTTGTCACGAACCAAACCTTTGCAAAAACACAATGCATTTGTCAAAYTGATTTCAAACAGTTCCATTTATATGTTCATTGGTTTATTATACACATTTATAACCTTCTAGCAGTATTTGAATCATTCTACACTAATACATTTTGCAATAATGAGTTTACACACATTTTAGTGAATGAAACAAGTAAATATCTCATTAAATCACTCCATCACAGGTCTTCTGAAATGTTTCCCAGCAAACTGAGCCTTGTCTCCCAATTCCTCTTCAATTCTGCAAAGAACAAGATTCATTAAAAAAAATTCAAGTTACTTTTGCTTTTGTATTTATCGAGTCATTTCAAGCAGCTTAAAGTAAAGATACAACTCTGAATTGTTTGACCAGTGAAGTCAGAAGTTTGAAATACTCAGACTTCAAGGTTTTTGTCTTAATTTGAATATTAAAGATAGTTGGGTTTATCCATGGTTGAGACTCACCTCAGGATCTGATTGTATTTAGCCAACCGCTCAGAGCGACACGGAGCGCCGGTCTTGATCTGGACAAGTAAAAAAAAAAATTTATTTAACATGTTACAATTTCAGTTTTATACACAAAAATAAGTTTAGTGACATGTATTCAGTCTAATTCATCTATTTTTTTTTTCAAACACAGAAGTTGACATTGAAGACGGCTCTGAGTAAATGTTCAGGTGTGTTACCTGTCCGGTGCATAATCCAACCACCAGATCTGCTATGAAGGTGTCTTCAGTTTCTCCTGAGCGGTGACTCACCATCACCCCCCAGCCACTCTCCTGAGCCATCTTACACCTGCAGGGTGTAAAACAAATGTCCCYGAGACATCCACCGACATACTGAGAGATTCAAGACCGTCTGGTTCTGCTTGAGTTCTGGTGATGAAATAAGTGCTGACTCACGCTTTCATGGACTCRGTGACTGTGCCAATCTGGTTGACTTTGAGCAGCAGGCAGTTGCAGGCCTTTTCTTCCACAGCTTTRCAGATGCGATTTGGATTGGTCACCGTCAAATCATCTCCCACTACCTGGATGTCGGTGCTGTTGGTGAAGTTGGTCCAGGCCGCCCAGTCGTCCTGGTCAAAGGGGTCCTCAATGGACACAACTGAATAAATGGAGAAACGGGTTCTAACAGGTTTAACATCTTGTCTGTATGAAGAGAAGACTTCATGTAAACAACATTAACTCTGTTTTCTTTGTGCTGAATGATGAGAAAAACAAACGTGTCATGTGTAGGTTATACCTGGATAATCCTTCACAAAGCTCCTGTAGAGATCAGCCAGCTCATCGGCWGTGATGTAACGACTCGGGTCATCAGGCGACTTGAAGTCCAGGTCGTACTTTCCGTCCCGGTAGAACTCTGATGCAGCCACATCCATGCCGATCACGACCTCATCRGTGTAACCCGCTTTGGCAATGGCCTCCTTCAGTAACTCCAAAGCTTCAAAATKTAATATTGTTCATGATAATTAGGGGACAGAAAATGATCAACATATCACCAGCTGATTTTCTTGACTCTGGCAACAGATTTGATTTAGATCGTTAGTTTTATATTAAACATGTTCAATTCAAGTAACCAGAAGTAAAGAAATATAATCTGTATTTTCTTAGTCATTTAGTTTTTAGTTTTAGTGTTTTTTTATAGCCATTTGTATTAATTTTGTTTTTAATGTTGCAAAGTGTCCTTAGGTGTTTTGAAAGTTGCTAATAAATAAAATGTATTATTA